CCTTACTCTTCTCTCACTTTCACTTTCTACTTTCACTTTCACTCTCTCTCTGGTTTTTTTCTTCTTTTTTTCTTCTCTCTTGTGCTTCTTCTTGCACTTCTCTCTCTCTCTTACGCTTTCTCTCTCTTATGCTTTCTCTTTTTTCTACTTTCTCTCTCTTACGCTTTTTCTCTCTTGTGCTTTTTCTCTCCTCTCTTACACTTTTTCTCTCTTGTACTTTCTCTTCTCTCTCTTGTGCTTTCTCTCGCTTGTACTTTTTCTCTCTTCTCTTGTGCTTTCTCTTATGCTTTCTCTCTCACTAGTCTTCAAGTTCATACTTTCTCTTATATTTTATTTCTATTTCTTTAAGTCTAAGTATCTGTTATCCATTTATCTATTGATTATTATTTGTGAATTCATATCTGAATGGAAAATTTGGATTTAAGTCTATCTATATGGTGGTAGCTGATCAATGTAAGCTTTCTACTACAAGTATTTTATTGAGAAATTACATGTATGCAACTACTCCGGGTTTTATCCTTCCAAAGCCCCTTTTTTTCTTTGATCTCCCATCTGTACGATTCCCTTAGTGCCTAGTTTTATCGCTGTCATCCTTCATTTTTACATCCATATCTGAGTAAATGTACAAGTTTGGCTAAGAGTAATGTGAGGATTGGTGTGTTGAAAATTTTTTCTCATAGTGTTTAATTTAGTGCAAACTACAGTAAACAAAGGTGTCAACACAACCCCTCAACAACCATCTTATTTAAGAACTGTGCTTAAGACTGTGCAAAACTGAGCCACTGAGTGCTATTGCACATTTGGAAAGGTTCGTGCTGTTGCTGTGGTGATAAGGACAGTTCCAGCGACGACCGTCGTAACAAACCCTCCCTATTACCGGTATCATGGTCATCGACCGCACCTTTAATCACACTCGATGAACTGTCAACTCGACTTGACTCGCTTCACAAATGAACTCACTCTAACCCATTAACCGCTTATGCTCCAAGCCAAGCTGAACCCAAAGGGAGTTACCATACCCGCCAGTGGCACAGGCAGAGGAGTGAGTGGGCCAATTACAGTACCCGTACTCAACCGCCAAGAGAAAGCAGCCTGTCAGCCTGTTTGACGGGGCGCCGTCCGCGTGATGGAAGAAGCATCCTCCGGTCCATCTTTGATATCATAAGACAGATGTGCCCGCCGGGCCCTAAGCCCTTCCCTGCATATTGATACCGGAAACACTGCCCTAAAACCGTAGAAAACTGTTTGGGGGTACAAAAGCAAACATGCAATCCCCGAATTAAGTTCAATCCCCTCATCCATTCCCCATTTCTCCATCTTCGCTTCAAAAATTCTTTTTGCTAGGTGGGGAGGGACTGTTTTTTGAGTTAAACTAACTAAGGTTTGATTTTACTGAATTATCCATTACAGGATGAAAGGAATTAATTCGAACCCCTTTGTTACAATTGTGCTGCACTTATATCCGTCTGAGGATGAGAACGAACGAGCCTACAATCATCTCAAAAGACGGGTTTTTTCGGCGGCTTCACTCTTACCTTTGGGATGATGGTAATATGGGCAGACTGGGCTTTTTATATTATCTCAGAAGAGCAACCGGTTGACTGTTGAGTTGTTCCGGCAATCCTGTCTGTGTATACTCAACCATCAAGACGGGACCGTCCGATCTGGCAAAAAGGCCTGGCTCGGAATGGGGTTAGGATTCTGGCGTCGGGAGGGACGGCCGCCCCGATAAAGGGTGCGAGAATGTCTGTCGAGCAGGTTGCTCCTGTGTATCAGATGCTTGAACTTGTCTGACAGTCGAGCTTGCTCGCAGATGCTATACGGCCGTAGTGGTATTGGTATTGGTAGCATAAGGAAAGCCCCCGAGACCGGTCAACACGCTTCGCCCCGCTGCGGACGCGAACATTCTCCGTCTATCCCGCAATCGGGGAACATGCAGCACTCTGAGTGCTTCACTAACGCAATAGGTGCCCTGCCCGGGACCTCGAACCCGATGAAAGGGATCTCACCGCATAGAATATCGGCAAGGCCAATTACGCGGTCTGCAATTTCTATCCCTTCAAGGACGCCGTTACAGAAATCCATGCCGCCTCAAGAGAACCATAGGCTAGGCTCTAAGAGCTTGCATACCGCTAACTATGGCCCAGCCATCCCTTTTTACCTGCTTTCATGCGATGGTTTCTGTCCACCTCTTGGCTCCAAAAGGTATAAATGGTGGTTTATCATCAACTAGGGGGAGCTCAAACTTGTTGATTGGCTATTTCATTGTTCTGTGAGTGAGCATATTCCCTTGATGGATGGTATTTGAACTAATGGGAGTAATATTCCTGCCCATCACAGCGCTAGAAGTGAGTGAAATTCGATACGGATCAAGGGATTGCTGAGTTATTCTGGCGCTATGCAGGTGGTGGTCAACAGCAGCTCAGTCTCCGCTATGGGCAAAGCCCGCATCAAAATCCTGCACAGGCCTTTGTAAAGTCCGGGGAGCTCCCCACCAGGGGTTTTTTTTTGCTTCGCCCGGCTGCACGGGCTTTCTAGACACGTTGAATTCGTGGCCACAGGCAAAAGAGCTCAAAAGGTCGCTCGGGTTTCCAGCTGCTGCTCCGTTCAAGCATGTTGCTCCTACGTGCGGTGCCGTGGAAAAGACGGTGTGCTTCGTGGGCGATGTCAAAGGGCTCGATAAAGGTCCTCAGGCATGCGCGTACACAAGAGCCGGAAGGGCCGAGGGAATGAATAGCTTCGGGGACCGGATCGCGCCAAACGATATCGTGGATGTAGCCACAGCTAGGGTCATGAGCGGAGAAGCGCCAGACGGTCTTATCGCACCCTCGTATACCTCCAGGGCATTCGATATTCTTAAAAAGAAAGGAGGCACGTATACGGTGTAGAAATGGATACCCTTTATGAGGTGAATGGCGGGAGTTATCCAAGTTCCATTTCAAAGCAACTGCCAAACCGCAATTGCAGCCACTAACCAGAAACATGCCAAGAATACGGTGCATCACCCCCGCAGCAGTGGGACGATGCAAAGATCACTGTAGACTAATACCTTCTCCCCTGTCTTGACACCATCAGCCGATTATGAAATACCGCGACGGGCCCTAATCGCCCCCACTATCTCCACAATTGCACTCAAATATACCCAATCCAATTCCGTATCTTATGTAAAGAACGGATAGATTATCGGCCCCGGCGCGGGTAATAATTACGGATTCACTGCACTAGGCTCGCGGGCGAAAAAGCCGACAAGTGATGCTTCAGGCAACATTTGAAGTTGCTCGACACCAAATGAAAGCACGGGCACTAAAAGGCCCAACAAGAACAACGCAATTGACCTCTACGCTTCGGGACTTTCTCCGAAGCCAAGGTAACGGCACGGACAGGAAGATGTACGAGAGCGTCTTTGACGAAGTTCCGGAGCGATTCGCTCTTGGGGGAAGGGGGGGTCGAGGGCTGGCGCAATCAGCAGGAAGGAAGGGTCGCAGTATCCGGCGATGCCTTTGTGAGGAGTCCTTGCAGATCCCGCATGGGAACTGGCTGAGCACCGGAGCGGGGTGTACGCATTACCGATTACCAATTTGTGATATCTAGTAAGCCCTTCTGCAGTTCCGATTCGTTGACAATATCTTCCGGGCCCACAAATCCGGGGCGAAGTACTAGTACGAGTACGGTACATGGCGGCTCCTGGGGGATCAGTACCGGTAGCTGGTAAGGCCGTTCACGAAGCAACTGATCGACGCGGTAGACTAAGTTATTGTCTTTGTGGAACCAGAGACGCGTCTTTTCCATCACTACCGCGGGTGGGTAGACATCCAAGATTTCCTGATGCGGGGTTGGAGTGTCTGGCGGGGTTTGGCGGGCGGACGATGTTTAGACCGCGCTGGCGTTTTTTCACGATTTTTTTGTGTTTAGTCGTGATGGAGGCTGGGTGTAGCAACCCTTGCCGTACCGTAGTGGTGGTGGTGGTGGTAGTGATGTGTGCTTGAAACGGGGGTTGCACCGCGAGCAAAACTCTTGGGTGGTGACGACGATTTCATGAGTGATGACAGGAACCGCGGGGATGGGCAATAGATTTCTTCCTCCCTGCCAATTCTCCAATTCAAATAACGGCACCGCATCGCTTGTGCCTTGCATCACCAGATGCTCCTTGGGGCTCTATTATGCGGTGTGGATTATCAATAAGTCGACTGCTCGAGAACGGACGGTTTCTCGAACCGTTCCTACTTGTATGATACCGATATTGTATCGTGCAGTGCTCTACGGTACCGGTATTTGAGGGGTCACACCCGTGACGTCCGAGGTCGACCCAAATTCCCCAACAAGTAAGGATCCGCAATTCACAGCAAGTCCACAGCCCCGTCCATAGGCTGGGGAGGGAGGGGAAAAAAGAGGTCAGCATTCGAATCGGCCACAATAAGAACTTGCGCGCAGCCGGTAAGGGACGAGTACTACTGGTACAGTATTAGAGTGCTAGTAGAGAGTCGTCGTCGTGGTGGTGAATACCGTACCATCTTCCCGTCAACGGGGGACCGGGTTAAACATTGTGGCCACAGGGTACCGGTACTCGTGCTCAAACGAGCCGAGGCCACTGTGCCAGCACTCATACTGTACATACACTTGGGTACGGCAGAGCGAGTGCGAGACAATGGTGGGGGGACCTTAATACAAGGGGATAGATAAATTAAACCTTAGTGCTGTGCTCGAGCTCGTGGCGGGGACGAAAGGGGAAGTGAGATCCGGGGTGTTGTGGATTCTGTCCCATTTTTTTATTTTTTTTATTTCTCTTCTTATTGGAGGACTTCCGTAAGTCTACCAGTGTACCGTACTCGTAGCATCAGGGTACGAGTAGAACTGAAATTTCCGAATATCGGTATTGTACGAGTACTAGTACAGTTGGAGAGGGTGTATACCGGTAGAAGCGGTGGTTTTAAGGGGGTTCCAACCGTCTCTTCGTCCCTTCTACTCAAATCATCTCCCGGTACTCGAGTACTCGAGTATCGTATAGTATTGCAATGAAATAGAGTGTGCGTTTGAACCTCAGAGATGGGACCAACTTGGCACCGCCTCTGCCAATTTGGATATATGGTTTATACCCGATCTAGTAAGAGGAGAAATTTGCTGCAATCTGGCTGTCAACGGTACGGGAGGCCATACCTTCTACCGTACCGGTATTCAGCTGTCCACCGTACTCCAATAGAGCTTGCTCCTGACAGACTTACGGGAAGTGTTCTATTATTTTCGCTTTCACTCTCGAACGCGCAAACCCGGGGCAGTGCGACTGCAATACTCGTGGAAGTCGCCGCATTGAGGCACAGGTGGCGGTGCTTTCTGATGCTTAAATTTAATTATATGTTGGCTGCGCCCACCCACCAGAGGGCAGAGATGCTGAAGCTGCAAGCCGCGAGGGAGAGCAAAAGGTGATGGTGGTGCGAGTACTGCACCAGTACGTATGCTACCCATACTGGAGTACCGGTACGATACAAAATTGTGCTCGTGCTGGTCTGTGGAGAGCATTTCGCGGGGCGGCATGGTGGATTGTATGCCGCGATCTGGCCCTTTCATGCACAGTGCTCGAGCATTGATTGAATTGTCGCCCGGTCAAGCCACCTTGATAATGCCGTGCATTTCAGAGGCCCGGAATAACTTACGCCAGACATTGACTTTACGAAGGTACAGCCCATAAGTTTTGTACGTTCCACAGGGGCTGACGGCAGCGAGCCTCGCTTGTGGAACCTACAAAACTTATGGGCTGTACCTCCGTAGTCAACCGAAGCCCGGGAAGGACCCGAATGAATTAACCAAACGGACAAGGACCCCTCGAGAAACCGTCATCATACCGGTACCATAACCCAGGAATCCACAGCGATAGAGGATCAAGAGGCACAGTCCTCTCACCCTACCGTACCGTACCGTGGAGGGTATTTTGTTTTTCGGAGGGATCACTGGCCTTGGCCTTAAGTTGGACCGCTGTGAGCTCTGCCCAAGCCATAGATTATATGTTCCTCTCATTCTGCCGGCATTAAATTCTGACAGCAGCCGGTTACCCTCTCTTCCCTCGATACAGGAGACCAAATTATAGGCTTGGTCACAGAGCTAACGTCCAGGAAGGCCATCACTGGTCACAGTAGCGGTACACTTCAATCACAGAATACCGGGTCTCTTTCTTCTCTTCCTCTTTTTGCCCTCTTCCCCGTCTGCCGGGACAAATATACCGGTAGTCTGTAGGCTCTCCGTGACTGGGTTGACCCATTGTGACCGGGACCAAGTTATTGGAGGAGCTTCGCGCCCACCCTCCCCTCGCCCCAAGGAATCGCTCCAGACGAGATTGCGGCAGTCGAACAGTGCCGGTAGGGGTACCTTCTTACAAGTCCGTACATCTCACATCCCTTCCCAGCCTTCTCTTCTACTCCTGCTTCTGTTTATCCTCTTTCCTCGCTCGCTACCGGGGTCTCCGTCCTGACCCCTCCCTCCCTTGCTTCCCCTTCCGACTTCTCCAACATCTGCACCCGCCTCCCCTGCTCTCCTCCCCTTCTTCTCCTCCACATCCACCGCACGCTCACCTCACCCTCCTCTCCTCTCCTTTCTGATCCTCTTCTCAATATTTTTTTTCTTTCCCACTTTTCCTCGCGGAACATCTTTCCATCCCATTTTCTTCCTTTTCCCGTTTCAGCCCTTCACTTCTCTACCTTCGTTACTTCCGCTTTCACATCAATCCCCCCTTTTACGTTACCGCTTCTTACCTCTACCTTGTCAACCCTTGGTTCGGTCAATAGAATTAATTTTCCTAGGTTTGGTCGAGGTCGCTTTCCTACAGCACCCAAGAATTCGGAGTTACAGATATGAGTGTAGGTCTCCCTATCCGTTGAACTCTATTGGGGAAGCGCCCGTCTCACCTTGTATTCTCTTGCTGATCGCATATTTTTGAACGTGTAGAGACCTGGTTACGGGGGGTATGTTTAACTCTTATTCCCTACTGCTTTGGACTGTCGCGACCGCCTCAATTCTCCTCGAGGCTTCTTTGGTTATCTGCACGCTGTGATTTGTCGGATTGAGGCTTTTCCGACGTCAGCCGCGCGGATATCACTAGAGACATGGAGGCTGACTTGTTTGGTTTTGTTGCTTGGATCAGCGATTATCGCCAAACCAATCCATATGCCCAGCAGGATAACTACAACCCACATGATAATTACGGTGCTGGGCAAGGTGGCTTTGGAGCTCAGGGTGGCCAAGACTATAATCAAGGGAGTGCAGGTAATTACTGCCTTTCACAATTTCACTATCTGTCTAGAGGTTGATGCCCACGGGATTCCAAACTAAAGTTGAGCCTTACTCTCCACTAGCTACAGGAAACTACGAACTGGCGAGCATGAACAACTCGAACCCCGATGGCGCGGATTCTCAGCAGGAATTCTTTGGCGAAGTAAACGAGCTCAGGGAAGGGATTGACCAGGTCAAGGCCAATATCACTCGTATCGAGTCACTTCATCAGCGCTCTCTCACGGATATCGATGAATCAACATCATCTCAGACTCAGCATCAGTTGGATTCTTTGGTCGCTGATACCTCGGCGTTGAACAGTGCTCTTGCGAACAGGATCAGGAGGCTAAAAGGAAAGGCTGCCACCGATCCCAGCAAGGCACCCCAGGTTAACAACCTGGATCGTAGCTTCAAGGATGTTCTCAGAAAGTATCAATCAGTAGAGGCCACTTTTCAGAAGAGGGCTCGCGAACAGATGGCCAGACAGTACCGGATCGTTCGTCCAGATGCGACTGAACAGGAAGTAGAGGAAGCATGTAATGATGGACAGGGCCAACAAATCTTTTCCCAAGCAGTAGGTCTCAACCTCGTGGCTGTGCGCTATTGGTGATTTGCTGTTGTGCTAACCTATATTCTAGCTTCTGACAGGTAACCGACGGGGCGAAGCTCGCTCTGCACTTCGCGAAGTGCAGGCGCGACACAACGAGATTCAGCGCATTGAGAAGACCATCATTGAGCTCGCAGATCTCTTTAGCCAGATGGAGCAGTTGGTCATTGAGCAAGAGGCGATGGTTGAGAACATTGACCAGCGGGGAGAAGAGGTTACCACAAATGTCGCCAAGGCCCAAGAGGAGATTGGAGTGGCTGTGGAGAAAGCTCGTTCCCGAAGAAGAAAGAAGTGGTGGTGCTTGCTCATCGTCCGTAAGTACATGTTATTCTATATTGCATTTCGCCTTCTCACCTTCAATTGTTTTCCTATTCCTGTTCTGGACCGTTCTCTCGGCACCCCCGAGTGCTGGGGATGAATATTACTTCCTTTTTTATCATGGAACGTTGAAAGGCAGTTCTCATAATCATCGCTATTGTCGTGATTGTTGTGGCGGTCTCTCTAACTGAGAAATGAGCTTAAAAATGGAACCAAATTCGCCTTCTTCCGACTTTTATGTCGGAGAGAGACCCCGGGGCGAACTTTCCTTAGATCATGTGTTTTTTTCATTCTCTCGAGGAAGATTTCGACCTAACATTGTCCTTTTCAAACCCGGGGTTATAGTTCTCATCATCATTGCAATCGTCGTTATCGCATTGGTGGTCACGAAGATCAACGGCGCGTGGTAAAAGCCTGGGCCTCGGCCAGACGGGGCAGGAATGCCCAAGAACACTGGAACGAGAATTACTTTCTTATATACCCGTTTTTTTCCCTCTTGCTTTCTTTTCCTTTGTAATCTGTTTCACTTTTTGGGTTGCAAACTCGGGAAATGGGCTTGCATTGCTTTCTTGATCGATTGAGGGGATACCTTTTTCTCGCAGCATTTCTAACTTTGGGTAAATACTTGCGTTACGCTCAACAGTTCTCATCATCATTGTCGTCGTCATCATCGTGGTCCTGGTCACGGTTCTGCGGAAAAATAACAACAATAACAGTGGCGGCGGTGGCGGTGGCTCAAATCCTTGATCGATCGAGAACTCCGACGAGCAAGACTTGTTTTTGGGCGCAGGCTAGGACTCTATCTATCCCTATCTACCCATCATGTTAATGGGGTAGATATACAGTACTTGTACTTCTTTCACCTTTTTCTTTTGCTTACATATTTCTCCTCCGTTCCTTTCCAACAAAGCTCAGGTGTTTCTCTATCTCTTATATTTGTATTTGCGTTTCCTTTTTTTCTGCTGAAAAAAAAAACTCTTCTGTGTACTAGCTTTGAAACCATGGGTGGTAGGTACCGGTAGGGTTGTTGGAGAGGGGGAAGTAGCAGTGGTGATGGAATGAGGGGGATTATTTAATACACTATTTTTCTACCTTTCCTCTGCTATACTTGGCCGTTCGTTACATCGATATCATAATTTTGTCTTTTTGCCCTTTCCCGTGGCTGTTTGCGAAATCTAATTTGCTACTAGTCTGTTGTGTAACTCGTTCCTCTCATCCCTGATCGTCATGGTAAAGTGTGGTTGTGGGGGATGGGGGTTTCCACCCCAACGAAATTACCATCACAGGTTATCTTGCACCCTTATAGCAGTAGAGGTTCGAAACCCCTCACACTAATGGTGAAAACACATGTGTCCGGGTACAAAGTACTGTCGTCCCAGAAATTGTCGTCCAGTTTCAGTTGAATTTTCCACTTTATTACAGTACTGTTACTGATATTCGCGAGTGTATCACATAAATTTATATACAGTCACCTCGCTATCCCGGACGACCAAGATCAGAAGAGACCGACCGGTATCATACAACGAGTAATCCGGAACAACGGGTCACGTTTTGGCGTACCGGTAGTCTAAATGAATTCGCAGCATTTCATACGGCACAGCGAGGTATCCGTATATTGAATTCCGGGCGAGCGAGGTCCGTCTGACAGTTTGCGACACGGTAGTCTACCTAGAGCGCTCCCACAGGGTCGATCGAATCACCCAACTTATATGGCTTAGGCCCCTTCCACGGGTACCGGTATTTCAGTTCTCCCTCCAGGGCTCGGGGGGGGGGGATTTAGCTGGCTCGGCGCATTGGCCGCTAGGCCAAGAAATACTCTGTAAGGAGTTTAGTGAGGATACCTGGAGACTACCTCCCTCTCCTCTAGGCGGATAAATACCCGCCTAGCCTATGCTTCATCTTTGAATGCTTCTCAGAGGACAGCAAATGTTCCTATAATAGATATCTGAAGTGGAATATGAAGCCGGGAACCTCGGCTATTTATTAAAAAAGAATTGATTGGAAGGTAGGTAGTTTTGGTGCTGTTAGAAGAAAAAATGAGGGTGAAAGATTTTGTTAGCAGACTGATTGAGATTAGTGAATATTGCACATGACAACGGCCAACTCCTTACATCTGGTGATGGTGATTGAAGTTTATATTATTTCTTTTCCAATATCTTATCTTCCAAACTCCAACTCCAATTCTATTGAACTTTCTATCTCTTTCTCACAGTTTCAAGTAACCGATAGCCCTGCTACAATAGTCTCGCATCCTTATCCTACAGCCTCTCAGCCCTCTGATACTACCTCTACTATTCAATCTACTCAACTCATCACAGACTTATCAGCTACCAATCTACAACTGCAAACCATATTGCGTACTTCCAGATCTTCCAGGACCCAGCTGGATGAGGTTGATCCACTAGTCCTAACTCAGCTTTGTGTTGTCTATCAGTCAGACTACATAGAAGGTAAAGAAGGAGAGTTATAGATGAAAATAAGTATTTTGCTTGAATGGAAGACTGGGAAAAGGTTGAAAGACCCCTCATCCACTATAAGGTCTTTAGTTGCAGCATGTCAAGTATATATTACATTACATTTCTAATAGTAATAAGTTTTTTACTGATTTTATAGTTTAGATTATGGTCAATCCTGAGAGACATGAGTCAGGTACCACTTAAGCCGATACTAAGTTAATTTAAGCACTAGATGCATGGATTGTATAAGTAGATGCTGTGGAGGAAGAAAAGTCAGCCAGCAAAAAGACATCAAATGAAGAGATTCATAAGATGCAGGAAGCCAAATGATACAGAGAAAGCCTCTTAAAACTGGAGTACCAGAAGAAAAAAAAATAAGCAAATAGGATACTGATGATGAGAAAGGAGCAGAGGTAGAATTGGGAGAAACATAAAAAAAAAAGAGATTGCGAAAGTCAGTTAAGGAAAAACAGTAGCAGAAGGAAGTTGATATAGTATATGAAGATACAGTTCTACTTGTATCTGCTGTTCAAGATATAAGTACCTAAATGGCAAGTGCAATTCAGAGTCTTTGTTCTACTAATTCTTCTGAGAAAATAATTGATACAAATGTACCTAAGCTTCAGGATTAGCTAGTAACACTTAAGAAGCAGGAAGAGGAGCAAAGAGAATAAGGAAAAAGGCAGGAAGATATATTGAATTAGATATTTAAAGAATTATTACATTTAGGACAACAGAGAAATTGAGTGTTTTTCTTTTTATTTAACTTTGAATTAAAAACAATTTGTAACAATTAGGATTTACAGTTTAAGTAGCTATCAACAGGTAACTATCCTATGTTATAGAGCTATGGTAACCTATGTTTACACCTATACACATGACCAAGAGGTCAAATGGTAGACTAGGCAAGCATGCTGGACCATGTCCTAGGGATATCCAATGGTCCTGGTATCTCTAAGAACAGAAGGTACTTAAAGAATTGGCATATCTAAGTAGTGGTAGTAATGTGACTATGTCTGCTCCTGTAATGGGGGCTCCCCTAGGAAGATAGATTCTGAGGATGTGACCGTACCAAACTTTGAATCTTGTGAATACAACTCTTACAAAATGTAAAGAATAAAAGTAATGGTAAAACTTAATATAGTTAAGCTCAGGCTTATCTTAATTAAAGTCTCTCGAGAGGATGTTGATTGTGTTGGGGTAGGAGAGTTTATATATAATTTTTAAGTAGTTAGACTTATACCAAAAACTCACCCATCAAGTTACCCTGACCAACACGAGTATGCCCTTCCCTGTAAGAGTTGCCTGATACTGTTACTGCATCCTTAAAGGGTCTAAGGTGTCAGCGTACTCTAGCAGCAATCTCCCATATGCACTTCAGTTCCTGTGAGGTATTTACCAAAACACATGCTAGAGTGAAAACTTGTATGCATCGGAGTCTTGTCAGTGGCTAACTGTCAAGACACCTGGGAAAGCTAACTGAATGACTCTCTTCCCATATTCTATGATCTATACAAGCTCCCATGGACATCAGCTGTCTTCTAGTTAAGTTCTATCTATCTTGATTGCAAACTTAGAAGGCTTATGATATTCTAGTAGAGAGCTGTAGTAGCAGCAGAACCTGTGGGCACTGCCCATGGCCTCTTACTCCCATGACACCACTTACTATGATAAGTATCATGCTTTTAGTGTCCTCAAACAACCTACAAAGAGCCTATAATAAAGGGGCGTGTATAGGGTTGATTAGCATAAAACCTTTTCAGATGTCTCCAGCACCACCCTGGACTACTCTGGGGACCCTTCCAGATAGCTCACATTAAACTCTGTTAGTTTTGGTCTGGTTTACTCTGTTCTTTTTAGAGAAGGTACCTGATCTTCTCATCTTGGCCCTCTTATATATCCTGCAAACAGCTTTTAGTTGGATGGATGGTAGTGATATATACAGTATTATAGACATGTCTTCTTTGACTTCTTTTAACTAGTATGATGGCAATATTATCTATTTTGGTTCATGATACCTGAGGCGAACCATGGGGCAGCAGGTACCGGTTAGGAATAATTCTACCAAGTTACAGGATGTTCAGAGCACTATAGCTTCTCCCATAGTTTTCTAATCAATGTGTAAGCAAGTGCCTATTGATCATCATTGTATAACAAACAATCCTAACATTTCCCAGAATTCCTCTGAGAATATTTCTGATAGGAGGTAGGATAATAGTGTCATAAAGGTACAGTAAGTATGTCTATGGTGACATGAAACTGGTCTCCATGGTAGGGTAACGTAACTTTCCTAGACAGAGTAAACTCACCTGGCCTTCTGACGTATTCTTAGACTGGAGTAGACATAGTCACATTACCTCCACTACTTAGGTACACCTATTCTATAAGTACCTTCTGTTCTTTCTAATACCCAGACCATTTGATATTCCTCAGACATGCACCAGCATACCTGCTTCGTCTACCATCTGACCTCCTAGTCTTATGTATAGGCATAGATATAGGTTGTTATAGTTCAATAACATAGGATTGTTAGATGCAAAAGCAGGAGTTAGGATGCCAGGAGGCAGTATTGGTACATTCTGATTAATAGTTTGTGTCATATACATTCCATGCATATAATATACAGAATGTATAGTAGTACGTAAGTTGAAATATTTCCTAATTTATAGTTGCAATTAAAACTATGGTATTTGACTACTTTCTATCAAGATACCAATAGCCAAACTGTTACACATAGAAGCGTAATCGGTGTGGCACGTGACTAAATGCATAAGGTCAAGTGTTTGACTGTGGGCCCTGCCGTAGTTATCGTAATGATATCATATTATCGCACGAAACGATAAGGCATCTATGCAGCCAGCTCTATAGAGATACAAGGCATGCGACCGAGGAGTTTTCACTGGATAACATAGAAGGAGCTCCGCTCTACAAGATAAGACTTGGTTGAAATGGATTGGTTGGTTAGTTATTGAACTATGTCCTCCGGAAGTCTTAGTGCTGCTATTCCTGAGAAGTAGCCGCATGTAACGGACAAGGTCTGAGGGTCGGGTAGCCCAAGGCACACCATGATCAGGACAGGCAGGAACCTGGAGACGAGGTCTAGGTGCGGGGGTACAACCGAAGCGAGTTGCACGAGGTTCGGGGTCCAGGAGTTCAGGGTCCGGGTTCAGGGGTTCAAGAGGACGCCAGATAGTAGAGAGTGTAATTCCTAGGTACAGGTGTCCAAATTCAATCTAACTTTATATTTATACTCGCGCGCGCCTTACAGGCTTATGCTACGAGCGATCATCTCTCATACAGCTACCATAAGGGCAGGCGGGCCTCCGGCGGACCACAAGCGGACCGGAACTGCCTGCAAAAGTCACAGCCTGGGGCCGGGGTCCCCACAATACACCGGC